TTCAATCAGCTCTAGTAGCTTTTGTGTGGACCTTTTAGGGTTTTCTATATATAGTAACATGTCATCAGCATATAATGACACTTTTACCTCTTCTTTTCCAATTTGGATCCCTTTTATTTCTTTCTCTTGCCTGATTGCTGTGGCTAGGACAAAATAACTATTATTGAATAAATTTATTTAATAAAATTGAATACATAAATATATTTATTTAACAAATTTATTTGTATACATAATTTTTATAAAAGAATACATTTATTTAATAGAATATTTTATACATACATTTATTTAATAAAAATATTTTTATGAATAAATTTTGATAAATACAGTTTATTCCAAATCAATTTCCAGTGTCCTGTGTGTAAGTCTCATAAACATCATTGGCCCTTTAAGGCCTTTAAAACTGAAAGTGGGACTGGAGAATGTGCTGCTTCCTGTGATTATATAAACATTGTGCTGTTAAGTCATAAAATGTTGTCTTTCATCATCTTTCATCAGCTTTAGCCAAAATAAGATCTCACCAAAAAAAAAATAAGGTCTCTCTGAATGGATTTATCTGCTTGTGGTCTTCCTTTTCTTAGTGTACACATCTCTTTCCTGGTGCCTTAGCCCACTGGCTCATTTTGCTTTGGAGGTTTGTCATTAGGCATCATTAAGTCAGTTCTCAGCATGCTTCTGCATCAGCTCAGTGTCATGAACGGAAGATGCTGTCCTTGCTCCACTCTGGGGAGCTCCTGGCTCCCTGCCCTTTCCATCACCCTCGGTGAGGGAACTGAGGATTTAGGTAACAAAACTGGAGGCTTTTGGAGAAGACTTCAAATCACAATAATAGGTTTTGGATAAAATTTAATAGCTCTCCACTGACCATTTTACCGTGTTGTGGATCACATTTCACTTGAAACAGAACAGCAGTGTTACTGCTGTGATGGTCATCTCTTGGGAAGTACTTTTCCTGAGATTTAAATATTAACATGTTTCATTACATCCCTGCGAAATATCTAAATTTGTACTTACGGGGAGAAGCTGATTGAAAAAAGATTATGAATAATTGAGCACTGCCGTCAGGACAGTTACTAATCCTGTGGATGTGTCTTCTCATCTTTTATGCTGAGATCTGGGCACAGTAATCATCCTGTCTATCCTTTGTTGATTCGCTTTCCCACCTGAGTCTCATGGCTTCTCTTTCCTCAAACACCAACTCATCCTTTCCCATCCTCACTCCTTGTTTCCTACTTGACTGAGAAAATTGAAGCCATCAGAAAATGTCCTCAGAGTCTCGCACTCTCTAACCCG